TTTATGAATAAATTTTGAGATCATTGATATCTTAATAATGTCATTATCCTATCCACAGACATTATACATAGCCCTATTTAGGTCTTCTTTGAAGTCTATTAACAGAGTTAACATCTTTTTCCATAAAGGTTTTGTGCATTCTTTCTTAGATTAATTGCTAGACACTTTATAGCTTTGCTGCTATTGTAAATAGTATCTTCCTTTCTAGTTTGTTAGTACTAGTGTGTAGGAATACTTTCGGTTTTCATGAATTGATTTTGTATTTGGGGATCTTGCTGCAACAGTTAGGATGGGGTTTGGCTATAAGTAACAACACAACACACATACACGCATATGCCCATAAGCTAAAATAACAGTAGCATGAATTAGAGGTTTATTCAGGAAGTTTAAGAAGACTTGAGGTAGATATTTTAAGGCTAGTGCTGGTAGAGCAGATGCCTTCTGTATTGTTGCTCCACTGAGTGTGGCTTCCATACCCAAGGTCAGCTCATGGTCTAAGATAACTGCTCAAGCTCCAGCCATTATGTCTTCATTTCAGATGGTAGAAAAAAGGATGAGGCATACCTTCTCCCTTCTAGGATTTATGTACCGATGCCACTTTTAACCTATTACCTGGAACACAGCACTACTTACCTATAAGGGATGCTGGCAAATGATGTCTTTGTTCTGGTTGGCCATGTGTCATGCTAAAACAAATGTAGTATAGTGGAGGAAAGGGAGAAAAGCATCTCTGTCACCTTGCCGATTTCTCTGATTATTTCTAATAGCTAATAGTTGATCAAGTTACTACAAACAAGCCCAGTTTTATCTCTTTCCTTTGGATTCTTCCATTTAATTTCTTCTTCCTTTTACAAATCTTACCCTGTTAGCCAGGACTTTCTCATGTTAAACAGTAGTGGCAACTTTGTCTTGATCCCACACTTAAATGGAATGTGTTTTAAGTAAAGCTGTCAAGTAATAGTTTGTTGTATGTTTTGGTCCTTTATAAAGTTAAGTAAATTTCTTCCTATTCCTATTTTTCTAGAAGTTCTTATTATTAATAAGTGATGCACTTTCTCAAGTGTTTTTTTTCTCTTAGTCTTTTTTATTTTTTTAAAGATTTTATTTATTTATTTGACAGAGAGACACAGCAAAAGAGGGAACACAAGCAGGGAGAGTGGAAGAAGGAGAAGCAGTCTTCCCGCCAAGCAGGGAGCCGGATATGGGGCTCAATGTGGGGCTCGGTGAGGGGCTTGATGCGGGGCTCGATCCCAGGACCCTGGGATCATGACCTGAGCTGAAGGCAGACGCTTAAAGACTGAGCCACCCAGGCGCCCCTTCTCTTAGTCTTTTTGAGATGAATTACCAATAGGTTTTCTGATATTAAATCATGCTTGAGCTTCTGGAATAAACCCTACTTGATTTATTGTATTTTCATGATAGATGGCTAGATAGGAAGCTAGAGAGATTTCTAAACTAAAGATAGGAAAATGAGGCTCAAGGTTTTTCTTAGTTCACTGGAGTAGGCATCTTGGATTTGGTTAGCTAGTATTTTATTTAGAATTTTTGCACTTGTGAAATGGGTCTATATTTTTCTTAAACTGTCCTTTTTCATATTTAGAATCTAATTCTGCTAATTTCCTTTTTTTTTTTTGTTTCCACTTCCTTTTGCTTGTGCTGGCTTTATTTCTTCATTTGTTTTGTAATTTGGATTGTGAGCTCATGCTTGCCTAGTCTCTGTCTGTGGGAAATCTAGGAGTCCTGGATTGAATTCTCTATTCTCAATAAAAGCTGTGCTATAGCTTCCTGATCTATGTGGATAGTATATATTCAAACTAATTTATAACTAGCTTATAATCTAATTGAGATCAGCTACAATCATATAAATATCTAAATAGCAGTAAAAGGGAAATAGTTTATAATCACTTATTGCTCATATACTTTTTATTTTAGATTTTAAAAATTATACATGGAACTCTAAATCATAACAGATTAGAAAGTAAAATAAGTAAGCAAAAGGAAAACTAGATAAAAATGAACTAAATCCTGCTTATCTATGACAAACACACTTAAAGTTTTCTTAGACTTTTCCCCAGGTTCCTATTTAAATGTTGCATGTGTGTACTTTTGAGTCTCTCAGGTCTGAGGCAACACAAATCTCATATAGTACTTTTTTTTTTTTTTAAATCACCACACTTCTTAGTACATCATTAGTTTCACTCCACTGGTTAGAATAAAAATTGTGACAACAATATATTTTTTGTATGGTGAAATTTGAATTTTGAAATGTGACCCCTACACATGAAAAATTCTACCTCTGTGCACTTTGAAACTATAAACTAGTAAGTCTCACACATATCATAGGTTCATATATAACATCAATCATGGTGATATTTTTAAGCTTATAAAATTAACTGTCTTCTCTATACTTTTAAGCATCATGGTTATAAGGTATGCCTATGATATTTATGAAAGACAATTTGCCAGCTTCACCCTCTTTTTCAGGGATCACCCTACCAGTGTATAATACAGACTTGTGTACAAGAAACGTAGAAAGGGAAGTGATCATAAAAATAAGAGCCTGGAAATATATGGGAGAAAGGAAATAGGTATGTGCGAGAAAGGAAAATAAGAAAAAAGAAACAAATAAATACAGGTGCTCAAATTTTCCAAAGGAAGGAATAAATAGGGGGTCTAAAATCAAATGCTTATTTTGATGTTTTAGTATTTATTCAAGTCACCTGGGGTATTTGTTAAAAAAGCAGATGCCCAGGTCCCGCCTACAGAAATGATGATTCAATGGATCTGAATGCAGACCCAGGAATCTGGGTGGGCCTTGGACAACCATTTAAGAAATACTGGAATTGAGAGAGCACAGAATTAGAAAATGACACATGGTAGAGACTGAAGGCATGCCAATAAGGGGGTAAGGGGGCAACTTCCGCCACAGGATGCTAAACTTGGGTATTTGGAGATCCTCTAAAAGATCCTAGTGTATGTCTAGACTCAAAATCTTCTTCTGTGTTATTAATACAGTATGTGAGATAACACTTTAACCAGGACTCAAGACTACAGGCTGATAGGACGCCTGGGTGGCTCAGTCCAATAAGTGTCTGCCTTCGGCTCCAGGTCATGATCCCAGGGTCCTGGGATCAAGCCCCACATTGGTCTCCTTGCTCAGCCGGGACCTGCTTCTCCCTCTCCCTCTGCCTGCTACTCCCCCTGCTTCTTCTCTCTGTCTGACAAATAAATAAATAAAATCTTAAAAAAAAAAAAAAAAAAGACTACAGGCTGAAGTCATGGAGTAGGGCTAAAATCAGAGAAGAGGTAAGAGGTGTCAGGCTGAGTATCAGAGTCAGAATTCAGGGCTCAGTACCTTAAAATGACAATAATCAAGGAAAGTCTCAATATGGCTAGAGTAAGCATCTGTGTTCGCTTATTATCTGTTTTCTGAATCTCAGACCACTGTAGGTTTTAATCTCATAATTATGAAAAAAAATTATCTTGCTTACTTCAAGACCCTAAATCAACTCTTAGGTCTCTCTAGTTGACTTGTCTATGAAAAATGGGTATCAGGTATTCTAAGTGGATTTGAAGATCTTTTTGTAGGCATGCAATAATTTGTCTTTCCTTGGTTTCTTGGTAGGAAGCAACTGTAAATTTCAAATAGTGCCCAGAAATGCACCTTGTGGGAAAGAAAGTGGATTTTTGCCAGTGTCTTTGCTTTCGTGAGCATCTCTAGTCAGGTTTACTGGTGATTAAAGTTACTTCCAAGTAAAAGTGCGTGGAAAGTGTTAAGGGCTGTAAAATGATCACTGGACAGTAGGCAAGAAATGGAGAAAAAGCCATAGCTCCTGGGAATGAGCAGTGAGAAGATCCAGCAGTGAGCGCTCCCTACCACTGCCATCAGAGTACCAGGTAAGGAGGGTGGGCAAAGAAGTGGGAGAAAGAGTAGTGCGGGAGGGAAGGTAAGACATACACACATTTAAAAAGCAAAGCCCATACAGCTTCGTTCCTGCCAGGTTAAGAAGGGCCTTTTCCAGAAGCTCAATAAAGAAATGGTATGTATTCGGGAGCTGTTTCAACCTGTCCACACCCTACCCTGACTTCCCCAGAAAACAGGCAAGCAAAGAGGCTAATGCCATTGCCAAGCCTCGGGTCTCTGGCTTCCAGCTTCCTCAAATCCCAGAGCACGGCTCCGCAGGACGTCACAGGGAGCTGTCTCTCAGAGTGGGCACTGCAGGGATATGGGGCAAAGTTCTGATCCGATTCACTCCAAATTTGGTTGCCCCTCGGGAGTGGGGTTTGGCTGCAGGGTCTCCCCAGCAGCGCAAGGCAGAGGCAGAGCTGCAGAAGCAGCCTGCAAGCTGAGTAAGGAGCCAGCCTCCGCCGCCGCCTCCTCCTGCCGGTGCGGAGTCGGCAGCACAGCCAGTCCCTATCGCTGTCACGCCGCCAGCAGCGCGGCCCCTCCGTCGCCCCCCCTTCCTCCGCCCGGCCCCAGCCCTCACACTGTTATTTGCGTGACTGACCCGAACCCGGCGGGAGGGAGGGGAAGGCGTTTGCCCGCCCACTCCTTCCCCTCTGGATCGGGGCGGCACCTTCTCCTCCTCATTGGTCACACGCTTGTGTCCATCACCCCCACGCAGTCTTCGGATTGGCGGAAGGCGCACTTCTGGCGCTAGGAGGGCAGAGTGACTCCGCCGGTCTCCGGCGCCTCATCTTTCCCTCCACCCCCACTTCAACGTCCACCCACCTCTCCCCACCCCCCACTCCACTTCCCCCGCCCCCTTCGCGGCAGTGTCCTTAGAAGACTCATTGGGCCAGGGGAGAAGCCAGCCGCCTATGGAGTCGCGCCGTGATTGGCCGACGCCCACGCCCGTCGGAGCGGCGGGATTCGCCATTCGCCACTCGCTCCGCTCCGCTCCCCGCCCCCCCAACGCCTCGCCCTCTCAGTCGCCTCCTCCCCTCCCGGCTCTTCCTCGGCCCCCTTTCCCCGCCCGTCCCCGCCGCATCTCCCCTGTCCAGCTGGGCGGGGACTGCTGTACGACTCTGTAAAGTCTGTGAGTCACTGCACAACCCATCAATCCAATTAAATGTCTTGAGCGAGCGAGCAGGGGGTGCTACCGCCGCCGCTCGCCCCGCCGCGGCCGCCCCTGCTCGAAGCGCCCCTCTGATCCATGGCTGTCTGTCTGTACTTGTTACGGTGTAACCTCCTCCTCCTCCTCCCTCTCCTCAGGAGCCGCTGCAACTTCCCCTCTGCCAGCCGCCTCTGCTTGGGGACTGCAAAGGCATGGGATAGATCCAGAGCCACTTCTCTCTATCTCCCCTCCAGCCCTCGCTCAATTTCCCCCCTTTAAATTAAAGTCTGTTCCTCGCTCCTCGTCGTTTTAGAGATTTGTCAGTCCATTATTTCCCCTGATTTATTTTCCCTCCCTGGGGCAGGGGGTCGCAGGGGCCGGTGGGTTTATTTTAGGGAAGGGGCTCTCCACCCCCACCTCCGTTCCCCTTCCTCCTTTTTCGGCGGTGACTTGATTGCCCTGCTCCTCTCCGCTCCCACCCCTCGAACTCACCGTCCCGCACTCGAGTGACGCACCGACACCCCCCGCCCACAGCCCAGACGTCCCCTCCCTCGCTGCCACCCCGACCCGTCTCGGAGCTGGACCCGGTGCCGACTTCTTCGCAGAAGGGTGAGTACCGTCTTGGGTTTTGGGGGGATCTGGAAAAATGTAGCCGGTCCACTCTGGGGAGGGCAGGGATCACGTTGTGGGCTGGAGGTTCCTGGTCCGGCGTGGGTTTGAGGTGGCGACTGCCTCCCTCCCTCGCTCCCTCTTCCCTCCGCCCCTCGACTCCTTATTCACCAGCTTTGCTGTATTTCTAGGTATTGCCAGACTTCCACCATCGGGGCATTATAACGCTTACAAAATGAGCGGTAATGGCATGTTTTCTGTCTTCAGGATGCTTAGTGAGAGGTAATAGTCAGCGATGGGATCTGATAGACTCTATAACCTGCAAAAAGTGTAAAACGTCTAATGGGTACATTTTACTCTAAATCAAAGTTAAACTTTTATTTAATAAAGGCAAAGCAAAGGTATTTCTAATTTGAATGTGTGGGGATAGAGCAAGGGAAGACAGGTTGCCTAGTGGCATGGCTTAGTATTTTTATTTTAAAATAGTTTTATGGGTTTCCTTTTGAAAAAAATATGAATTCAGTATTAAAGACTATGAAGTCTTTGAACCTGTTGGAGGAAAGCAAGGTAAGATGGAAATCCAGCTTGACACTTCATCTTCATCTCACCTCTATTCAAGCGAGGCATTACCACACAGAATTTTTTACTTCTCAGTCCCAGGGCACAGTGGGATGTGTTAAGGATAAATATGGATTTTTTTTTTTCTTTTGATATCCATTTTTTGGTATACTTCATTGCTCTTAAGCAATGTCATGCTACAGAATTTTGTAAAATTTAATTTTGTTCCTTGGTTGTGGGTGACTGCTGCCCATATATGCTTTATGAGAATATATGTATCTTTAATATTTGCCTTATGCATCTTTAATATTTAATTTGAGATAAAAGTAAAAATTATGAGAAATAGTTACTCTGAATCGGCTTCTGAGGTCACTTGTGAGAATTCAGCCTATTTAAAAATTTAAAAATTCAGAAATACTCTTTTTGAATCAAGTTCTGGTCTCGTTGTCCACAAGATTCAAATTAGGCCAAACCAAACATGTTTTGAAATATTAAAGTACAGGAAAGGCCTCTTAGTAGTTCATTCTCTCCTTCTCTTTCAGACTAACCAGAATAAGTTGTTACTAAATTTAATTTTAAAGAATAGACTGTTCCTGTACTGAAATCTGCCAAGTTTCTACAGAAAGATTTCTTTTTAAAGAGCAGAAATGTGTTTATGATGAACCCAAAGTAGTAATGTTGACTCAGATGTAAAAGCTATCGTAAGGAAATGCTTGTCATAAGCCCCAAAACCTTTCAAAGTGTTTAGAAGACTTATACAAAGCCTTTTGGAATTGTTTAATAAATATTTTCTATGGCCTTTTTCATGAGTCTAAGACTGAATCATTGAGAGGCCTTCTAGCACAGTGGAGCCCTGCTGCCTGAGTTTGAACCTTGCCGCCTACCCTTGATGGCTGTCTGACCTTGGGCAAGTTTCAAACCTGGCCTGTGCTGGTTTTCTCCTGCAAATGGAAAGGATGACTTTTCCTCAAAGGGTTGCTATAAAGGTAAATAAGAGAGTGCATGTCACAGAGCATTGGGTGTTAGCTGTCCCATCATCATCACCATCTGCAGGGAGGTGTAGTGATTATAAGTGTGGCCTTCAGAACCAAGCTCTTTAGGTTCAAGTCCCAGAATTTCCTCTTGTTATCTTTGTGACCTTGGTCAAGTTAACTTAAGATTCCTCATCTGTAAAATGGGAATAATAGCAGCAGTTGCTTCATACGGTTATTGTGAGGTTAGAGTGAGTTAATTTATGCAAAGGTCTTGACTAGTGTTTGGTATGTCTTTTCAAATTTCATTCTCTTTTGTTCCTTGTATATCTTGAAACATGGATGGCTATATTTTTTAGAAGTAAATTTTTGGTAATGATAAAGATTTATTGCCGTCAATGAAATAAGCAGAATTCTTAACCATTATGCATGATGTTTTGTTGGATTTATACTTTTAAACTGGAGTTTATATGGATCTTTATGAAATTTAATTATTAGATGAGTTGAGTCAGTCCCTCTTTCATTTAGATTTGCATAACAGATTATATATACCTCTATTATAATGGTACCTATCACACATTTGCTGTTAACCGTGATTTTCTCCTCTACTAAACAGAAAGTTTTTTGAGGGTGAGAATAGTGTTTCATTTGTAATTTAATCTCTGGTGCCTAGCGGAGTGTTGGGTACATAAAGAAGCTTAATGGATGCTGTATAATAAATTAAATACTGTTATTCTCAAGTTGTTTATGAGTAGTGGAATGACATAAGTGATAGTGTGGAGAATACTATTATTAGTATTGAATTGAATTTTTACATTCTCAATTATTATTTTTGTAAATAGAGAGTAAGTGAGGGGAATTACAGTATAACTTACGTTTTATTAAGAACATACTTTTCATTTTGAAAATTAAACTTGAAATAGTCTGAAAAGTGCATATTGAATATCTTTGTCATCTGACATGTCCGTTTTTTATTGTAAGACTTTCTGTCTCCCAAACTTTGTCACTAAGTTGGATGTTATTACAATTAATATGAACTATACAGATTCTATTTTGAATGTCCCAAATGATGATATGATGTTCTTATTGGCTTCAGAATTAATAATAAGAGTCTCATGCTCTACCGACTGAGCTAGCCGGGCCAGAATTAATAAAGAGAATTTATCGGACTCACACTGTGAAAATAAAGCAACATCATTTCCTTAAGGACCAAATCTTACTTCTCTTTCCATTCAAGAGTGAGACTCTTTTTTCTTGAGCAGTCTTAATAAATAATTAACTTTTGAAATAGCTGTAGTAAATAGTGTAATAGGAATCATAAAGGAGGTATATGCAATTAGTAAGTAAAACCCTTAAACTTTAAACTTCAGTGCGCACTTAATAGGCATTGCACAATTGGGGAATATATTCTTTTAAATAAGCAAAATTGATGGGGCCTACCAGCTGCTTCATTTCTAGAATCATTCTGTTTTACTTGTCAATAAAATGCAGTTTAATTACTGTGCCCTCTGAAATTATAAAATGCAAGAAATGGCTTTCATGAAAGAGATACCCTCAGCAAAGAAACCTGAATACTGATCTACTCAGGAGTGTACAGTGTTTCATAACATTGTTTAAAACTTTTCAAATATGTGAACTATCTACTACACCGTGGATAACTCTGTATACATAATCCTTTCTTTAACTAAATCATCAGTTACCCCATTTAGCTGAATATATTGCATTTTTATTGGCTAAAACAATCAATTTAGTAAACTTGCCCTTTTTTCCCCCATGTACTTTTAAAGCAGCCTATCTCAAATGAAACTTAAAAACATTGACTTATGGACTCAGAAACTACACTTAAGTGTCTGGTCTGTGAGATGGGAAGTTGCTTATTTTTCGCTTGACACATTTTATCATGACATTGTTTCTGTAGCTCATATCTCTTTCCCTTGACATTTTTGTGAAGGCATTGGAGTATTTATTAGCATTTTACAGATGTATATGATGTCTCCAACTTTTAAAAAAGCAATGTTTCTGATGAAGAACTGTGTGGAAAGAAGAGGAGAGAGGGATGGAAATAACTTTTAGGACTTGTGATTTCTATCCTTGTCTTCTAACATTAAGAAAATGGATAATTGTATACTCTGCTAGTGATCAAAAGGAGGGGAAATAATATATGCATGATCTATTGACAAACTTAGAATTGAGGTCCATGGAGTTCTAGACTGAGCAGTGCTACTGATTGGCACGTGACTTGAGCCGTACACTTCACTTCCACTACTCCCCATGTTCTTATCTTTCAATGGGAAGAGGGAAGGCAGTTACTCTGCCCTCACTCTGAGAGGACTTTGTAGGGGTTGTAAGTGCTTTTTAAAAGCATTGGAGAAGGACAAAATGCAAGCAAATACAAAATAAACATTAGCATTTAGAAATGGATGTTTATTTATCATTATTTAAAAATTGTAACCTTTTAGATCTTTTGTCTGAAGGGCATTTTTCCTTTTAACTTTGTATTTGAAGAGACTTCTTACTGGTGTGTTCACAAGAATATGTAAGGTACCTTTTAAAGAGACAAGGAACTTTGGTTTAATTGAATGGGATTTCAATGTTAACACTGAGTTTTGGTGTATCCTGAGTTATAGCAGATGTTGATGTTGAAGAACAAAGTATGTATCGACGAGATAAATCATTTTATTAAGTTAAAGCTTGTAAAACCTGCTCATGCATTGCAGGAAAAAAAATGTTCAGATATATCAGATTCCATTAGAAGTTATATTCAAAGAGAAAAATTAATCACATTATTTACTTTCAAATTTCAAAAGGATTACTTGGCTGTAGGACCTCTCCTTATGCTCATTTATTTTGTACCTCAAATGTGAAATGTGCACATTTCAGAATATGTATAGTGGCTTGGAGGATTTAATTTATTCCAGCTAATCTTTTATTTGGGAAGGTGAGTAAAGACACGTGTAGAAAGGCTGTGTGTTAAGCAACTAGTTTTTTTTTTTTTCTTTTGTCCCTAAAAATGAGTTAGCCGTCTTTAAAAGTCAAAAGCCCAGAGTTAGCACATTATGTAAGTTTTTTTGAATTTAGCTTTTCCTCTCCCTGGTTATTAGAGAAGAGTGGTCACAACCTCATGATGTTACTCACTTTTTTTAAGTGGAAATGAAATTCTAGTGTACTCAGAGTAAGACCTATTAAGACAAGTGGCACATATGAGAAATAATATTTATTCCATTTAATATTAAGTATAGGGAACAATGATCCTCAGATGCAAGGTTGCTAAACAGAAAGCAACTTTTAAAAATATATTGTCCTTTTGTCCTTATTGTTCAGTTTCCAACTGATAGAAACTTGGAACGATTAGCTTTCTTCTCCACTTTTGAACTTGATGTCTGCATTGATGTTTATAATTTTGTGTGGTGGTATGTATAACTCTATATAGTACTGAATGTTTACTTTTAACGTATTAAATAAAATGATCAA